TTCATAGGGCTACACATAGAAGTTATAAACATAAAAAATGAAAACTCCCTTTTCCCAAAACGTGAACAATCTCCAATTGTGTTTCACCTTCTGATTTAATCATCATCGCATTTTGATCTTAATTGGTTACGTGAAACAGCCCCTTATTCTATTAACATCTTTTCCAAAGTTTCCTCTTTAACTGTTTTCGTTATCTTGTTTCTCTCTTGTTCCTCTCTTGTTTCACTTTATCTTTGCATCTACATTCTTTGCGCTGAGATTTGTCTACATGTTTGTTGCGCATGGCAATGAGCTTATATAACTAAACTAGCTTACGCATTCCAACTCATTTTTTAACATAGTCTAACATAACATAACATAACATCACATCACATACTTCCTTTTCCTCACAATTTACATTTACAGATAAAATTACAGCTTTTTATGTTTACAGTATATCTTTTCGGTTGGTAAATATTAAAGTTAGAATACGGGCGTCAAGTAAACCACTCGGTTTTCTAGTTGGCCCCCATATTTACAATCGACTATAACGAAGAGTTACACTAGGCAATTTTACTCTTAAATAATGTCAATGAAACAATCGAGCAGAGTAAAGCATACGGAATCTTATTTATTGGAATATTTGACCCTATTTTCAGTGATCTCATCCTTCGGTAGAGCTTGATAAATTTTCAACTAGAAAGTCTCTCCGTATTTTATGTATCATAACGGAACTTTTTTGCAGTGGGCATATTGGTGTTCCGTACTAAAGGAAATTTTACATTTAAAACAAAGGCGCTTTTCAATGGACCAAAACTTCCAATTTGCATTTCCGGAAATTTCAAGTGGCGAATGGAACGCTATTTTCAAGAATTGCCGGAGAAGAAGACAACCTCGCGAGCTAGCTATATCCAAATTTTTGCAATTATCTTACCGAAATTTTCTGTACGTTCCATTTGATTTTCACCCTTTAATTTCCAGAACTTTCTGTTCAATGGTCGCATTTCGGAAATTTTACAATTTTAGGCCTTTCCAGATACTTTTCAAGTGAATATTTGAACCATTTGACCCACATTCCAGAATTTTAGGTTGAATGGAATGCGCCCAAGATCTTATTTTCCAAAAGAGAGAAATTTCACTCCTGGCAACACCAACATGCATTCCATCATAGTCGTCGTGAACTCATGTGAAATCGCTCTGTTGCAGGAATCTTCAACAGATGGCCGGGAAGAGGACGATAAAATGGGAGCAAGTTTTTCTGGAAGCAGAAAAAGTTCTACATCACCCCCATCTCCTGAAGCTTATGAATCCTCGCCAATGACAGACAGAAAATACTATTCACCAAAATTTATAGTCACCAGTATTTAAATGGCAATTACTACAACTTGCCGTCAGCACCCTTTAAAAGTTTTTTAAGAAATTTTAAGATAGGAAAATACGGTTCTTTTATATAGTTTTTATTTTTTAAAATATAAATTATCAGAGTTAACAAAAAAAACTCCTTATTAGATTATGTGAGCACGTATCTTAATTAAGGCAGTAATGAGTAAATTCATACGAAATGACTCTATTGGTAGTTCTAATTTGCCCTTTATTGCGAATGGCTACGGTTTCTTCCATTTTGCATAATGTTCCACTAATGTACGTTATGGTCGTTTTATCGAGTCACCTTTTTTGCCTGGCACCATATGGCGCATGCGCAAACAATGACGCCTGCGCAAACAATGGCGCATGCGCAGCAATCTACAGGGTTTGAATGGGTTGAATAGGACAAAACGTTAACTGTTGGTTGAAAAATGACAAGCATTTTAACTGGTAACAGATCTGAGATCTGCCAAATTTACGAATTGCTTAGAAATGGCTGAGATTTTAATTGATAGCTGAGAAATAGTGGAAATTTTCACCTTCCACTCTAGACTCTGTAACCCCCTTCTAAACCATTAATCTAAACAAGAGCCTAGCAATATCTTAAACTATTGACCGGCCAATTGCTACTTTGCTACTTGTAGTTTTCTCAACGTAAGTTGGTTTTTGAAAGCCACATTTGGTGCAATGTGATGCAAATGTAAGTATAATTTACGTAGAGTTGTAAAACTTGCATATTAATGTGGAATTCAATGTATTTTCTACGCCTTAATCTTACTCTAGTCTTAAAGATATGCACAAACTCATGAAGGTAACTTGTTTCACTCTAAAGCGTGTCTCAAATTGAGACCTGCAGTATAAGTGTGGTAATTGTTTTAAAATAATACAGCCTCTTTGGACCTCCAATATTTGTAACAATAATTAGAAAAAACTGTTATGATGCCCCATCGAAGATGGCTAAATTGTACAAAAATAAAATAATAGATACTGTAAATAAAATATTGGATAATAACATGTATCCCATTCATTTGTCTTCTAGTTTTTTCTATTGTAATGACGACAGTGACACTCGCAATGCAGAATGGACCTGCGCATGAATTTATAATAACGTCTAATCATTTTGTATGACTTTTGTTAGAGATTAGGTTGCAAGCGGTAGCGCCCCCACCCCACTCTACCCTCAAGGTTTTCGTTCTGCAATATTTGAAATATATTTAACTCTCATGCTCAAAGTTTTAGCTGGTTTTCACTCTTCCCATGCGGTAATTTTGATATATGACGTGCTTGCCACGTTATATGGGGTCGAGGGACTAGGGTCCCATAGGCAGGCAAAGAAATAGGGGTAGAAAAGGTGGGGGGAAGGAAGGGGGTCAAGCATATTGCAGAAGGTTCCAGAGCTTACTGAAACAACCTGTGAGAGCTCTAGAGAAATAACGTCGTTTTAGTGGCAAAACTCGATGGCAGATGCTTCTGTTGTTGGTGCCACTCGGTCAAAAACATGGCTTCTCCAAGCAAAGGTGTGTACATTTGTGTGAAACACTTCTCTGAATAACGCGCGAAAAACCACACAGAACTAAATCTATGTATCAATCATCTGTCATATCCTAGATTTTTTACTTAATTTTTTTAACGGTTACGACTGTTTTTTTTTTTTTTTTAATGTAAACCAACAATTACAAGAATTCCTGAGTCATTTCGTTCATGAGAGCTCAAGGTGGTTTGGGGGCTGATTGACTGTGGTCGGCGTAGGACGGGAGGGGAGGCAGGGTCGGACAAGACAGATTTGGTTGGGGCGGGGAGGGTTTTTTCCGGGGACGGCTTATTAGGGAGTTTAACACCGACGGGAACGGCGACGGGAGCGTCGCTAAACAAAAGGTTTAATGAGCAGAATAATGGCTGTGCACGTGCTTTGTCAATCGTGGTAGATTTTTTTGCCGTCCTCTGCAAAACAAAAACGTGAAATGACCAAATTCTGCGTTGTCTGGAGAACGTGAACCACAACGCTGACTTTTTTAATTTGTATTTCAAATTTATCACTGGGTGCCAGATTCTGTTTCATGATAGTTTTAACAGTAATAAACAAAGTAAATGACTTAAGAGTATTGCGAGATTTGGAGGTAAAATATAAAATCACTTTTAAATCGACTTTGTCCTCGACGTGGCCATCGTGGTTACTTAAACTCCCTATTATCTCCGTTTTTCTGCATCTTCTCTGAAAAAATGTCGTTTGATGCTTGACCCACCCACAGGATTATGTTTCTGAATTCTATCATTCTCGAGACAGTAAATTTCACCTGAAGGTTTGGTCTCTATATTATATCTGTCACGAACTCACATGGGTAACTCGCAAGCTTCATACGACTTCCCAGCTTGCTTTGCAGTTTGACAGTTCGACAGCCCGCCATATTGTGACAAGTCGCCAAACTTGGACTTCAAGGTATTTTCTCCTGCTGTCATTCTTTGATCCTAGAGATATTTTGCTTTTATAATTTTTGAATATGTTTTGTAATTATGTGAAGCATACAACGGAGAGCTGAGAGTTTTCTTTTGGTGCGGGATTCAATTCAATGAGAATTAGGTGAGCAGTAGAACTTTGTGGGAAATTCAATAAAAAATTGGCTATTTAGGGCGTTGACGTTGATAAAATATACTTTAACTCCTTAATGGCTGTTTTCCGGTGTAATTATTCATTGATCTAAAGTTTTCCTACATGAAAAGTGTAAGAAGTGTCTTTTGTGGCCGTAATATTGTTATCCATGTGTTGAGAGGTGAACGAGGGGTGGGGAGGGTAGGGGGCGAGGACACGCTTGCAGTAACCCCACCAACCTAGTTCCCAGGGTCTCTCTTTTTTCCGCCCCTTGGAGCCGCTCCGCTCTCTCCCGCTCCAGGGCGGAAAGAAGACAGCCCCTTGGAACGAGGTTAAAATTCGACTAGCAGCAATTTTACTAATTTTCTGGCTTGCAATTTTTCTCCTTTCCGTGACTAATAATAAGACAAGGCTAATCATTGTACTGTAATTCTATAATTTTTGTTTTTGTGGCAAATCAAAAAATAAAAATAAAAATAAAATAAACATCAGCAGCAGCAACTAAGCGAGTGACTTGCGACACACAAGAATTCTCAGTCATTTCCCCGATCATGGGGGGAACATTCGTTATCAAAACCTTCGACATCATGGGCCGGTGTTTTGGGTCGATTTATGCTATAAATGGAAAGATTCCGATCCCAAAAGATGGAAAATAGGTATTAACAGTTAGCGCCTTAGGGGCTGACACGAGTGAAAGGTTATACGAAAAAGGAGTGTAATTGTAATATGTCTCACAGATCGCACTAAAATGAAAACATATTGTTTGGGTCACAACTATAATGGTAATTGGACCGAGTGAAGTACCATTCAGGAAGTAATCGCATAAGTA